GACAAGTTTGTGGACATCAGTGGGGTCTCACCACTGGAAAACATCGCCAGCCTCTGTGAGATTGACTCACTCCTGAGTGAGCTGCTGAGTCACAGGTCAGCGGACAGTTTGCATTGGAGTATTATTGACATTTTTGAAGAGTAGATTTTGATTCTTAACTTTTTTTAAAAAATCTGATTACTCGGGTACTTTCAATGAAAGGATTGCAAATTGATTGTGATTTAATCACTTAACATTTTATCCAACTTTTATTTTATTTTTTTTCTCTAAGAATCTAAAATATTTAATTTAAAAGATCAATCACTGAAATAGATGGACTGTAAAACAGAGGATCTAACTCTTTGGTATAGGAAGGTTAGTGACCTAGTGCCTGTGCTGGGCACTTCACTCTACTGGGTCCCCCTTTCTGACAGGATGAACCGGGGGAGCTCTGGTCCAGATTGGCCACCATGAACTGGAGCTGACCCTGTTTTTTCATACTATGTCAGTGTTGATTATAGCGCTCGGTGCCAGCTCTGAGAGCAGGCAGGGTAACTCATCCCTTGGCCCCTGTGTTCACTCGCAAAAGGGGGATTCAGTCGCAATTACTGCTGCTGTGGGATTGCATTAGGGTCACGTCGCAGGGAAGAACCTTTAGGGGTTGAACCAAAACCACCACAACAAATTGCCTGACTGTGGAACTTGATCGATCCAGAAACACAATCCTTAACGATCCTGGAAAATGTACAATAAAGCACATTTATTAGCATGGTGCTCACTGTCCTGTTTGCTCTGTAGATCGAGGAGAGAAAAGCCAGATTCCTCTCCAGCAGCTTCGCTCCCCCAATTCTGGTTGTCATTGCCCAGGGGAAAAGGAGTGCCCAGGCCGAGCTGGCACGGAGCCCTGCTGAACAGGGACAATCCGGCCAGGAAGCAGCCGAGAGCAGGACCTGGGGGCTGCCCCACATGGACGAGAGACCTTGTCACCCGTAGGCCCTCCGTGCCAACCACGTTCCTGCTTTGGAGGCTCCTTTCCGTGCCCACTGCCATCCCCATGTCCCGGGGGACAGGGCTGAGCGCTGTGGGCCTCGCCTGGGGCTGCCGGGCCTGCGTCCCCTGCCAGGCCCTGGCTGTGCTCAGCCTGGCATGGCGCTGCCCAAGGGCCCCGCTGTCCCGGCGCCATGGCCGCCACGGTCACGGCTCCTGCGGGACGTCAGAGTTGCTCGGCACAAAGAAGCGGGTCTTGTGCTCCCTGTGGCCTGCAGCCTGGACGGCCGTCAGCCAAGACCTTCCTGATGGGTCGAATCGCCTGATTCAGGAGCTTAAATTGTAACACCAAGTCCGGCTCTGTTACAAATACACAAGTTAGAGATTTATGTTCGTCTCCAGTCTGGTTTGGTGCATCCCAGTTGTAGCTAGGGACGAGCTTTCCTTTGGGCATGACACCAAAACTGAGACCAGAGTGTGCAGATATCCCCCCCAAACCACTTCCAGGATGCTGGCACTTATACGGCACTTGCTGACCAAAGATCTGGAGGTTTTTCACAATGCCCAGTCTGTAAAGGGAGGTTTATGGTCTCAGTGATGGATATGGGAAGTGAAGGCACAGGGGATGTTAGGTCACTAGGGCCACCAGACCTGGGACAGACCTGGCAAAGGTGCGAGGATCACCTGAATCCTCGGTCCCTACCACAGACCTGGCTCCTGCCAGCTCTGTTCACAGCCTCATAGCACGATGCTGGCTGCGTTTCCCAGGCGCTCCCTGAAGAAGCTGCTCTAAGGTCCGATGAGTATTGTGGCATTATCCAACCCTGCTTTCTTTTTGGATCCAGGCATCTGTGAGAGCAGGACTCTTCTGGCATCCTTGCTTTTTTTTTTTTAAACAGTAATCTTTAAGGTTTAGTATTTCTGGAGCTCCAGAGTGGGCTGATGTGCATAAATTCGGTTTAATTACATTTGCTGCTGTAAGTACTAACCACCAAAAGAAGGTCTTTATGGTGAGTTACCCTCCTACCCCACCCATTATTCTTGAAACTCCTGTGATGCAACTAGAAATATGAAAATCCTCAGGAAAAGGCATTTCAAATGCTGTATTAACCTTCTGCAATTTAGGAAACATTAGTTGAGAGGAACTTTGCCTGCCTGTGCACCCTTTCTTAGGAATGTAAAAATCCAACAATCRACACAAAAGCCATTCACATTAGCAGCCTGCTTTGAATTTTAATTAACAGGAAATGCCACTCACACATTACAATTCAACTTCCAGAATCTCTCTGCTTTACCCCTTTGAAGTTTCCCGTCCAATCTGGGAAGAAAAATCTGCATATCTTTCTGAGATGCTTGCAGTATTACCATTCTGGTTTTATTTACAGTAAAGCATTCCATYGTATTTCTTATCTCTGAAACTAATATTAAAGTTACTTTAAGCTTGTTCAGAGATACAGTAGAAACTTTTCTATCTGGATTTTCACCACGGTGAGTAATGCACCACAATAACAATTGCCTCCAGCACAGTGATGCCACCACTTCTGGGCTGTGCACAATCTGCTTGCAGCCAGCAGCAGTGCAACAAGGTCAAGGTTAAAAGGCAAAGCACCCTGAAACAAATGTGTGTGCAGCAGGATAGGGTAAATTAAGCTGTTACAGCTTAGATGTTTCTGGGTCCCTTACTGCAGTTATTGATGGAATGGTAATTTTTTTTTTTTTTTGTATTTCTGCAGTAGAAATCAGAGATGACACAACCTGACTCTGCATCACCCTAAGTTGTTCATTCGCATGTGGTTGTTAAGGAGCAGCCCATCCTCGCTAAAAGGCTGAGCATTCCCTCACTCTCAAATTTCTTGGCTTGCAGAGCAACATGATCAGCAGTGGGGGTGATGTTGTCCYGGAGAAATATCTTCAGCCTTCAGCCATATTACTTTATACCTTTATTCATCTAATTTACCCAGTCCTCTTCTGAAGCCGTATAATTCGCATATCCAACCCTGCCTGTAAAACATCCCCTCCTATGCCTGGCATCCCCTTGCACCCTCCTCACCACCCTGCCATGGTTACCCTGTTGCTGTGGGTTGATCTTGTAGGTGTTTTGGCAAGACACTCTGCTGTGATTGCCTTGGGACCTGTCCCAAGCAAACTGCAGCCTAAAGGGCAGAGATGTGTTTAAAACCTGTGTCCTGGTTTATGCAAGGTCTGTCACTACCTGTTCAGTGTGAACAGAAGCCATGATTAAACAGATTAAACCTTCTACCTTCTTCATACATTTACATCAAGTCTCAAAGCTCCCTGTTAGCTGCTTCCCAGGCTCATGGGTCTCTGTGCTACCATAGCACTGAAAATCTAAATTGGGGATGCCTGAGAAGGACAACTATAGCTGCCTGCACAGAGTTTGGAAAGAAAGCAAAGCCCCTTGCTGTCACCTGGGAGCCAGCCAGGACACTTTGGGGACACAGAGCGGCCATGACATCCCGGTGCCTTTGTGGGGGAACAGGGACATGGACTCATCACTGACCCACCAGTGGTTCCATGTCTCCTCCATGTCCTCGAGGCTCCTTAAAGGTCTCCCACGGACCTCAATAATTTATGAGCTCAGATGAACACAGACCTTGAAGTAGTTTAGCAGCATCTGACCACAAGATGTCACAGTTGCCTCACAGAGATGCATAATCCTGTGCGCGTGTGTCCTGCCCCCAAGTTATATACACATATTTATATATACATAAACCTATGCATATATACATAGATATATATTTAGTTCTGTAATCTTTGTCATTATGTCCCGGGAAATGGTAGGCATTGACACCTCATTTGCATATTATCCATTGGGGGTCTAAAAAGAAGATTATTCAACACTTAACCTCTCCTCATATCCCTCCTAAYAGAGAGCAACTTCTAAGTCAAGCCAGAAGGAAAATTCACGTTTAACTACATATATAATATTTCTGGCTGTGCCCAAGTCATGGGTTAGGAAGAGCTGCCTCACTAACTTCATTTCCTCGTTGCCAGAGGATGCTGCAAACTCGGAAAACCCTCATCATGCTGACGGGGTGTGCAGCCTGCACGTCTAACTCAGCAGCTAGCGGGCGCCTCGGGTGGATAAATAACAGTCAGCCTTGCGCTGCTGTGGCAGCTCCTGCTGGCAGCCGGAGCAGCCCAGCGTGTCCCGTTCACACCTGCGTCCCGCACCTCCATGCGGACGGATTTCTGTCCCTGCATGGCAGGAGCAGCAAGGGCCAGAGTGGTTGCGGGAAGCAGACACATCTGCTCCCAGGCTCATCTCCCGCCACCTGCCCTTCGGCCTCTCCCGCCCAGGGAGCCTGCGAATGTCCCGGGTATGTCCTGCAGCCTGTGGGTTCCCACCCTGGGGAAGGCTCTGCTCTGTGCACCATGGTCAGCAAGCCTGGCCGGCTGCAGGAGCGAGTTGCCACTGGCCGTGACACCCTCCAGTGGCCACAGCTCCCAGGAAAGGAAAGCACCCAATGGCTGTGTGGTGGTCCTGCCCTGCAGTGGGTTTTCTCGGAATAGGGAACAGTGAAAGGCTCCGGTGTGCAGTTGTGTCCTTCAGGGCAGTCTGTGCCTGCACACCTAGTGCAGGAGACAGCCCCAGCACAGGCTCTTGGGCAGCTACGCACAAGGCTGCCTGCGGACAYAAAAGGTCTGAGCCAGGATCCCTCATTATTTATAAATCTTCTTGAATTAGACAGGAGGAAGGACCCCGGTTGCACCTAAAGAGGCAATACAGAATGAGGAGCACTTGGAATGGTTTGCAAGTGCCATACATGGGCACACAGCTGCACCAGGACAGCTTGCAGCGGACAGTGAGGAAGAGTCAGCTGGGAGGAGATGCTGTATTTCCCAATAGGTGACAGCAACACCCCAGCCCTCATGTGATGCTTGTTCTGTGTTAGTCAGTCTGTCAGTCACTGACTGATTTTCTTCAGCTGTGTCACAAAAATCGGCCTTGCCTCTAACTACACTCAGGCATGAAGGGGTGTGAGGTCTGAGCAGGGTGGTGCATCCCTGTCTTGTCCTGGCACTGGGGTATTTCTTCAGGTTCTGCACTTCTTTCTGGAGTTACCTGCCTTTGCTGATCTAGATTCCTTTAAAATGCTTCTTTTTTGAGTCTGGGATTTTGCATGATAACTGCCTCAATTTTCTCTTCTGGGAGTCACAGCTGTGTCCAAGATCCTCTGAGTGCAACAAGGAGCATGGAGGGGGTACGAGCAAGACTGGTGCACCTTTCTGCACCTTGGTATGTAGTGTCTACTTTAATCTCTGCTGCTCTGTCTTGATAACTGTTGTGCTGCTTGGGGTTTTTTTTTATTCATTTCATTTTCTTTCTAGAAAAAAAAAAACATGCAGTAAATGAATTGGCTAGATCTGAATTTACTAGACAGAATTCTCCCTCTGGGGAGATGGTGATTGCTTGGCTGGGTTTCACCCTGTGCCTTCTCCCTGGCAGTAGTCAGACCCACAGGCTATGAGAGAGGTTTTAGATTGTGCAGAGGAGAGAAAAATGAAACCAAAAATGCAGGAAGGGTCTGTCCCTCACCCCAGGTTTTCTGCTCCTTAAGAGGGTCTCTTCAGACCCAAGGCCTGAGAAATTATATTCCTTCCCAAATGTTTATTTTCATTAGACATTTAAGTATCTATGTAACATATCCTGTCTTCCCTGGCCAATTACTTACCCTTGGGGTCTTCTCTGTCATTGGAAAATCATTGTGAAAAKAATATTTTTCTCTGATCAGTTCTGTATTTGTCACCTTTGTGCTCCCTGATGTTTTTAGCCTGATTGGAGGTTGGGAACTGCTGCTCTATCTCCTCTCATTCATTGAGCACCCTGCAATTATAGAGCTGGAGACGATGAGAACTGCAGCAGTTGCACTGTAGTTGGTATTTAACCTTTCCAGAAACACCYTGAACTTTCCTGTCCTGCATTCTTCCAGGGAAGATCTTGAACCTAGCTGTTCAGTTTAGGATGGAGTTAGAGGGAAACCAGAGGCMTTTGGAGAAGGAAGTTATAAAGGCTCGTAGAGAGACTGTGTTGAAGGTCCCTAGTGAGCGCATTGCAGTGTTTTCTGTATTAACATCCAGTTACCTCTTCTTTGTACAGGTTGAGACTCTGTGTCTACTGTGAAGACTTTGTGCTCCCTAAGGTACACAGGACCATGCTAGATCTATGGTCAATTTACTCAAAGCCCGTCCCAGCAAATACCAGAGAGTTGTGGGCTTTATTTCTACAGTGTTTCTGCATTACAGTGGTGGTAGGAGGCCTCTTTTACAACTGGATGTTTGCTTCCCTGGAGTATTCACAATATCTCTCTACTGCGATTGCCATTTCCTTCAGTCTGCTCCTTCTACTGACCCTTTTCTTGGTGCACCCTGCCCGTTGTGCCTTCAGCATCATCATGCCTACTTTAGGTACAAAACAAGGTCGGAAGCTTCTCTTGTCTACCTGCATCATGATTGTGGCAGTTAATGTAACACCAAACACTATAAGTAACATTAAAGTCATACTGCAGGTTATTGAATGCATCTGCAAAAATTCCTCGGAGAGCCTTTTGAACTCAACAGCTCTCCTAGGAGAGGCATCGTGGGAGCTTGGAGATGTAATCCAAACAGCTGATATTAGTGCTTTGCGGCCTAGGAATGGACACTTTAAATTTGCACTACTTACTAACAGCACCTTGATTAACCAGCAAATGCATCTTGCTGGTGAGAAAATTAGAAAAAACTTTCTGGCAGTTGAGGGACTGGTAAGAGCCTCAATACAAGCAGGGAACAGATTAGTTGCTGGCTTCTCTGTGCTCTATCTCTGCTTTGAGTCCACCTGGTATTTGAAAAACTATCTCACCAACCTTCGCTTTGACAATTTCTACATCACCAAGAAACTGGAGCATTTATCCATGGCCAGAAAAGCAACTCATCTGCTGACAGGTTCATCCAAATGTTTCCTTCGGCCAACAGGCCCAAAGCTGTCCCGGGAGGAAGTGATGCTCTGCCTCACGCAGATGGTGTTCCTTACCGTGGTCTTGATGCTCATGCTGGTCATCATAGCAATGGACCACTTCGCATTTCGCATGGCAGACACTGCGGTGAGGAACGTGGCTCAGTTCTCAGTGGTGCCCGTGACTCTCAACATCAAATACAACGTAAGTGCCAGGTTCCCTTGTCCAGCTCATGGTCTAGGGGTTGTGAGTTTGAAACGTGTAGCTACTAATGCACCTTTTGTGATCACTGTAAATCACTGTAACATCAGAAGAAGATCAGCTAGGTTTGGGGTTCACCGTGTCAAGTATTCAGCACGTTAACAACATGCTATTACTCTTGGTAATCTGAAGCACATCAGTGCAATTTGTGTGTGTGGTAACCTATTTATTTTGTTCATATTTTGTTTAAGCTTTTACTCTTTTCATTTCAGGCAAAAATAAGGATCCTACCCTTTCTCCAGAAACTTTTCTGCAATTTTTGTGCAGAATCATCAATTCAGGACTTCGAAAAAAGCTACCATCATAATCTGCACTTCAGCTCTGCCCATTGCAGGATCAACCCACCAAGGCCTCCCAATGACTCTGTGGTTCTTGTTGTTGGGCTGCTCTACTGCATCATCTATACCACGGTGTTTCTGGAAACCTATGCCCACCGCTCGTGCAGAAAAATTGCAGCCTCCTTCTTCGAGAGCCAGGAGGAGAAGCGAGCACACTACCTCTACAACAAGCTGTCCAGGAAGTACGAGGAGGAGAAAAACTGTGAGAAACTAAGAGCACTTTTAGAAATCCAAGGATTGTCTGAGGCTTCTGGGCAGTAGCTGGGCTCAGGCTTCTGGGATGGGATTATGTCACTGCCTTCTCCTGACCAGTTTATATTCCAGAGGCTAAGTGTTTGGAAGCTGGGAAAAATATTTGCTTTAAAAAAAAACAACTATTGCTTTGAGCTATTGCATTTTTATGTTTATTTGATAAAAATGGGCTTTATGTGCTTTTTTTAAAAAAATCTTTAAGGCCTGGAGTCAGTTGTGCTGGGAATGGTGGGGAAGGTAGTAGAGAGAATTTGTAAGATATGGAAGATAACCACAGCCTTAGGCAATGCTAAAAGGGAAATATGTGGGAGCTGGCTGAGGGGAAATGGTTCATTTATCTTCCCCATCAAATTCCTGCCCGAGGAAGTACACATTTCTCTTTCTCTCAAGTTATCTTCTCAAGTTAGTTTCTTTGGATTTCTGTGAATGAAACCTATGTGTTTAATAGTCCTTAGTAGACAGTTCATCCACCAAAGAAAGAGCATTTTCAGCCCACTGGAAAAGACCACTATGAGCAGTAGGGGCAGATCCTGTGCATGGCTTTCCTGGCACTGGGAATCAGTAGGTAAGGCCTGAATAGCACAGGGATATCAATGCTCATTAATTTTTGTTGGAGTGGCATAGCTTGAGGCCATGGTGTCTGTGCAGAGCTTCGACAGATAATGGATGAATCTGAGGGAAAAATGGATGTGAAAGACTCGTTGGCATTTTACCACTTAACCCTCAGCCCTGCTTTTCTGAGGAAAAGCCGAATTTGGGAAACTGTGGCAAATGTGAGAGTGTCACAGGTCACCCACTGGTGAGTGTCCCGCAGTCGCGTTGTTGCACAATGGAGTTGTAGCTGGGGCCGGTTCCCAAGGCCCGGCCTTCTTGGGACCGGGCCAGTGACTTGCCATGTGAGGGGACAGGCTGAGCCCAAGAGCAGTGGCCCGGTGGCCTGGTTTTGCAATAGGCGTGGGCTTGGCCGAATCACCGTCAAATTTTCTTGCATGAAGACTTCCCACTGCAGCTTCTTCTTGCAAAGAGAGCAAGAACGGAAGAGCTGGGTGAGGTTTTTTCCCAGCTGCTCCCAGGGCTTCCTCATCGATTGCCACATGCTGGCTTCCACCCTTAGCAGTGGGTACGTGGCAGCAGCCCACGGCTGCGCTTCCTTCCCTCCCYGTTCTGGGAAACACTTGATCTTCAAGCACAACATGGGTTGTACAGAGTTGAGTGAGGAGGTGTTGGGGTCTGAGAAAGAACATGGACGCCGGGCTACAGCAGTGCGTGACCAGGCCTGACCAGGCCTCRCCACAGCGTCCTCGGCTCCAGGAGCTGCTGCTCCTCGATGTCTCTTCCCAACAGGCATTTCTGGATGTTCCTGGCACTCAGGGTGCCTGTAGGAACCCAGGCCTGCGRGTGACGAGGGAAGAACAGTGGGTTTTGAGCTGGAGACCCTAGAGAGAAAGCTCACTACCTGTGTCAGGATAAAGAACCGAGTGTAAAGATTTTAAATGTAAATTTTGCCTAGCTTATATTGGGGTAAGATGGAGCAACAGTCTGCAATGGTAACACTGATTTGCTTTGCAAAAACATCCTAAACTCCAGCTGGTGTTGCAGGAAACTGCTCTAAGTGCCCAGAGCTCATTTTGTGCCATGGTTGAACATGTCGAAGGCAACACAAGTTTGGGGAAAGGAAATGGAGAGATGTCTGTGCAAAGCCTACCAGTGTTAAAAAGTGTTTGTTTACTGCCCTGAAGCCAAGAGGGAAAAAAAGAAGTATATGGTTATTTTATAGCTGAATTCAGTGGACAGTTTTAATGAGTTTTCATGTTTGATGCTTATGCCCTAGGTCTGTKTTTTTCCTAATGCACTGTTAGATATGTACCATTAACATTTTTTTCTTGGTTGTGTCGGGTAACGATAAATTAACCACACAACTGTAAGTTGGTTACTGTGGAATCCTGTTCATGGTAACATGGACATCTTTGCGTTCCCTGTTTATTTCTGAAGCCACAGGAAGAGGGGACCTTTTGGGTGTCCTCCAAATTAGCAGATTTTTTGTTGGTTTTGCCAGGGTAAAGCACCCACTGTYAAGGTCACAAAGGAGATTAGTGCAGAGGGTGGTTTAGAATCGCTTCCAGTTCTTTTGGAACTGGAATCACTTCCAGTTCTTTAAATGTTTGGCTGTGGATTTTCACACAATAGCAGGCAACAAAACACAGCAGCTCTTAGCAATGGCAGATGTGTTGCATGAGTGCTTTACTTGCAAAAGTTTTCACTATGGTGAGTGAAGAAAGAAGACCAGGAGGTGGGAGACTGACTTTGTTGCTGACCTATCGCCTGCAGAATTGTTTCCTTCGGTTAATTGCTAAGGTGAGTTGGCCAAGCTTGGCCTTCTAGCATATCCTCTTAGAAGCATAAATGTTTCTGTGCATGACTACTATTTTACCATGCCTGGAACGTGTGAATATGCTGACAACGTTTATATCACAACATTATGTATTTAATAAGCATCTCATTTGAAATATTTGTTCATGTACATCCCCCCAAAATCTGTTATAAAACCCATAAATTAGGTAAGTACAAGCTGCAAGTTTGTAAATACAGAATTAAGAAGGTAGCTATTACATAGCTGGTTTAACAAAATATCCTTTGCAAGTAAGATATGTAGGCTTATTTGGAGAGGATTTAGCTTCTCAGAGGAGGTCTTCTCCAAGTAAGTTATATGCTTCTTAGCTGCAGCAGACAGGGGAATATAATTTCTTCCTTTGTCCTTCCTGTTCCTACAAACCAGCATGACCTGATGCACTTAGAGTATTTCCTCAATGCCTTGTTCACCAGCGGCAAATTTATGAAACATCTTTACATGAATGTGGCTGGATTGGGAGCTAGATTAGAGCCAGAACATTTACTAAAGGGGAWGCAGTGAAAATACACAGCCTGAGAAGGTTTGCATTGAAGGGATCCTTGGTACCAGGAGATACAGGATGAGCAGGAGCCCCGACTGCCTGGTGGTCCTTGGCTGGCTGCACAGGGGCAGCAGGAACGTGGTGGCTGCTGCCACGTTCCCAAAGCAGATGACAGTACGAGGGAGGGGAAAGGCAGAATAACGCAACATGGACGCAGTGCCTGCAGCTATGTGATGCTGCAAGCTGGGAGCAGATGGACACAGTGGCCTCTTTCATTTAATGCAGCTTCTAATCTGATCATGGCCAGGCCCAGCAGTTTGTCCAGGGAGCACTTTTTTTTTTTTTTTTTCATATAACTAGATGGAAAACTGTGTGTTGCACCAATGTATACATATACATGAAAACTGCAGGAAAAGTCTGTAAACTGAGTAAGGAATGATTGAGAGTGCCCTTATCTAGACCATTTGCTGACTCTCTTGCTGACTGATGCTATAGATCTAAATTTGCAAGAACAGCAATGAGTAGAATGGGAGGGACCTTAACCTCAAAGAAAGTCAGCAGCCAACACTTTGGATGTTTGAATTGCATCTGAATCAAGCTCTTGATTATATCTTAGGAGCGTCAAAAGTTCAAAGCAGCAATTGTAACTGGTTGTAGCTCTTTTTCTCTCTTATTGCTAAATTATCTATTGCAATGTACAATGCATCCATGTCACTACATTAGATTTGTAGGCAAAGAAGAGGGAAGATTAGGTGATAAAGCCATAGGACAAACAGTATATAGTCAGGCTTATCTTCTTGGCTTTGTTCATTTTTTTTTTTTTTTCTTTTTCTTTTCTTTTGAATGTTTTCAAATCTAAGTAAAACTTATTCCAGATGTGATCACTTGAAGGATATAAAATCATCCTAGCACCAGGACTATGTGAATTCTGTGCTGTACCTGAATAGAGAGCTAGTCCCATCTCAAAAATTGCAGTGCTATAAACAACAAAAAGGCCACAGGCAAAGGTTTTAGTGCTCCATTCCCACTAGCATCCGGCTTTCCCAAGTATTTCAGACTAATATATTCAGAGAACTCCTCGGAGGCCCCAGCGCACTGAATGAGAGGTGCTTGATACGACGTGGGTCGCTTGTCCGGCCGGTCGGGGCTGGATCCATCCGTGGGCCTTTCGCCGATGAACAGCAAGCTGYGGTCTCTGGCGTCTTGCTCTGTTTTGAAAAGTTCATACTCTGTGTGCGGCAGCTTGATGCCCAAAGCCAAACATCCATTTGTGGGTGTTATATCCTGCTCCATCCCAGCGTGCCAGGAGTTTGTGAGCCCGCAGCTTCCCGGCTCCGAGGAGTTGAGCATCATCACTGTCACCTGGTCCATCGGTGTCACCCGAGCCTGGGTGACCTTAAAAGCCAGTTCGGTGCCACCCCTCACTTTGGAGGAGGGGATGCCTTGAGTGTAACGCCCAGAYGCGTAGATGGTGAAAGTCGGCTGCTTGCACAGCGGGTCGGAGTAGTGGTAATAATAACCTTCCCAGGTGTGATTGCTCCCATGAAATATGAAGTATCTGGTGAGGAAAAGCACGGCGGGCCGGACCTCGCAGTGGGTGCTCACCCAGCTGCCGCTCAGCTGCATGGGCAGCTCTGCTCGCACAGGTAGGATGGGTGGATGGTGTTCATCAGCTCTGTATATAATCCCGCAGGCTGGGCAAGGATGCACGTGGTGCTGGGGAAGGCAAAAAATAGTATTAAAATAACTTTTAAAATAACTTTTTTTTTTTTTTTTGCATATCCACCTATAAGTTATTTTAAAAGCCTCAGAACATCCCTTTCATGCATCAGAGCTTTCATCTGCAATGAACATAGCCCTAGGCATCCAAGCAGATGAAGCAAGAGAAGGAGCTGCCCAGGCCCTGTGGCGGGGATGCAGTGGGATGGGGCAGGGGGCTTGTGTGAGCACCAGGACACACATCCCTGTGAGGGGAGAGGGAAAAACTGCCTGCAGAACCGATCCCAACCAGGTTCTGTCCTGGTTCCCTGCCTGGGCTCTGCACTGTGCTGAGCCAGGCCAGTCCCACAGCTCTTCACGCGCCACAAGATTTTCTATTTTTTTTGTCTAGATAAGGTCTTTTTTTATATATATTTCATGTATCACAACTGATTTATTTTCAAATAACCAGGGTTTGAACACTATCGTTTTCCAGAATAAGAGCTAATCTTGACTGAACTGTCATACGCAGCAATGTTAAGTAACTCAGTAGTTAACTGCTGGGTGGGTAATTTACATGCAAGTTGATTGGAGTCTACTATAATTTAGTCATTTTCAGCTTGTTTTACTGCTACTGTCACGCTAATGAGTGCTGACAGTACACAATACAGTGCTGCTAAATAATCCCAGAACTTGGCAAATATATATGTTCTCCTTGGGCAGGAAATTCTTTGATAATGAAAGGTAATTTGGGGAGAATGGGTTTCCTTAAAACAGATACAGATTTAGGGGAATAAGAGTGGTATTTTCTTAAAGTGCACTAAAAAAATAATTCTTAACGTAGCCGTGTAGCTTTCTTACCGGTGCAAGCAAGCAGCAATTAGCCGAGTAATCAAAACAAAACAAAAACCTTCTGCCCAATAAAATTATCACCATTGCCATGAAGCCAAAAATCCTACTTGCTTAAACCAGTCGTGTGAAKTTACTTCTAATGTTTGGCAGCTGCTATTTATCGCCAAGTGGTGACATCATGTGCTGGTACGCTGGAGAGCTGTTAGCTGATTAATTACAGTGCTGGATCCAGAGAGTGAATTCTGGTATCTTTGGGTTTGCTTTTAAATTAACTTTTTAAAGTATTTATGTTTACCATCTGGTTTTGCTCAGATATATGGTTTTGGCCCAAGATAACACAAGTTTAGCCAATCTGAGAACGCTACTTTGAAGGGGAGAGGTGTCACTCTGCATTTTCCTTTTGCTCTTTCAGGGGTCAGCTGGTGCAGCTCAGGGTACAGGGAAATGTTACCCCAAAGCTGCCTCCAAAAAAAGGGCTTTTCCATTTCATTCAGTTCCCTCTGGCAATGTTCAGAGAGGTTTCTCACCCCATCTCACTCAGTTATTTCTGAGTTGATCAATTAAGATTCAAACAAAACAAAGTTTTTCTGGAAATAAATCAGAGTGTTGGCAGAAGAAAAAAGCTAAAAAGCAACCAAGTCTCTTACTCTGTTTCATATATGCCAAAATGAAAGCCTGATTTCTGCATAACAGTGCAATTGTATTCRGGACTGCTTCCTCTTCTAATGCCTTTACATTGGAAAACAAAGATTTAATGGGAGATGCTGCTTCCTCACTTTTCCTCAATCTGCAGAACATGACGAAGAAATCCATAGCGAGAGGGATGCGAGACATCTGAGCGCGCAGCTCTGTGCCCTGGGCTTCACTGACCTCGCTGCAGGCTCTGCATCCTAGAGGTGAGCTACACTTCTCTTGGCAATTGGGTCCCCATAAAAAAAAAATCATTTTTAAAACAAAGGCATCGTTATCACCTGCAGAAAAAAAAAAAGTCTGCCTCTTACCAGAGCGTTCTGCAGAGGTTGCTGGTAGCCGGTGGGCCGGTAGTGGAGCCTCTCACGCCACTCGGTGTGGATGTCCCCCAGGTAGAGCTCCTCCACGAGGCGCCCGCCGGGCCGCGGCAGCGCCTGGTAGTGCTGCTCCACGCGCACCAGGCTTAGCTCGTGCATGGCAAAGCCCAGCGCGGCCGTGCAGTCACGCTCCGTCTTGGCGCTCAGCACCTCATAGAGCGCTCCGGGCGCCCAGCTGCGCCCCGCGGGCAGGAAGCCACTGCAGCCTGGCCCCGATGTCCCGTTGACCCAGGCGGCAACCTCCCGCATGGCGCGCCGGCTGTGGAAGACGATGCCCACCTTGTGCAGGTGGTAGTCAGCCTCGGTGGCGCCGCGCGTGATCCAGGAGGCCTGGCGCAGGCGCACCTTGCCCTTGATGACCAGGGAGTAGGAGGGCTCACGGCACGATGGGTCCCAGTAGTAGAACTGGTGGGCCTTGAAGAGGCGGTTGGAGTAGAAGAGGTAGGACCTGGTGAGGAACTCGGGRCCCGGCCGCACCTCGCACCTGGGGACCAAGGCAGTGTCCTCAGTGGTGTGACAGTGGCACCTGCCTTCCCCTGCATGGACCCSCCTGCCCCACCAGCCCTGGGGGAGCCTGGGGACCAGGATGAGGGTGGGTGCAGGTGGCAGCAGCCCCTGGCACTGAGCTCRGCACTGACCTGCAAAATGTGATGCTGCCATGCAGGGCTTTGCGGTGGGTATTTGACACTTCGTACCTTGGGATTGGCAGGGAAACAAGGGGGCTCTGGAAGCAGAGGCTGGAAGGGTGTCGGAGGACAGGGATGGGCTCCTGCTCACCTCTCTGCTTCCTTTGGGAAGTTCATTGGTGCCCCTGGGGTGGCTTCTCGGGGTGCTGGGTGCCTGGGGTGTGTACTGGAGTGCTCAGGGGGTGCCTGCACGGACCTTATTCAGGGATGCAGCAGCAGTGCCCAGAGGATGCTTGGGGCTGGTCTGCACAGGRATACCCTGGAGATGGGACCGAGGGGTGCCCAGAGGATGCCGGGGGGGGGAGGTGGCTCACCCAGGGGTGCCCCGTGCCCTGGGGGGCGGGGAGGGGGAGCCGCGGGTGCCTTACCCGGTGGAGACCCAGTGGCCGTCGAGGCGGGGCGGCAGCCGCGCCGCGATCCTGGCGCCGTCCTGCAGGTGGCGGAGCCGCTGCCGGCACCGCGGCTCCCAGCGCAGCGGCGCCTCCGCGGCCGCGCACGCTGCGGGCGACACGGGCGGAGCGCGGGTCAGGCGCGCGGGCTGCCCRGCTCCCCGCACCTCCCCGGCCCCGCTGCGCCCTGAGCCTGCGCACCCGCGTGGGGACCCTGCTGCGGCAAAGCCCCTGCGGCCGCAGCAGCCCTGCGTGGCGCTCTGCAGGGCCCCGGCCAGCTCTGCAGCAGGGTTTCCCCGTGCAGCAACCCCAGCCAGGCTCCCACAGGAGGTTCACACCTTGCATCACAGCTGTGCACGCAGGATGCAGCGTGCTGGACACACTGCACAGAGCTGCAGGTACCTGCAGGCAGGTGCTGCCGAGAGCTCTCCTGCTCACATTGCAGACACAGAAAACGCCTCAACCCCCACGCTGGAGCAACACGTAGCCCAGAGACCTGCTCAGAGCGTGAAACCCAAAACRGGTCAACTAAGCAGCAAGGTGTTAGGCAGGCAGGCAGAATACTTGTTTTACTGCTCTTTAATTCGAGTTTCTGCSGAACCCAGCTCTATTTCAGATGAACTCTTCAAACAAAACTGAGGGCTCTTTGTTCCCCTTCTCCCTCTCAAGCTATTGTGGAAGCGGTGATTGGAGCAGGGAATTACGGCATGGGAACGCGAGCCTTGCATGTCGCTGCCATAAGGACAGTAATTCTGTCACTTACCTCATTTCCCATAACAACGGATGTTATTGGCTTAGGGAATGTGTGAACACTCGGCTAAATCCTGAAGACCTTTGCATGCACATATATATGTGTATATATATGTACATATGTTTTTATATATGTGTTATTCACTCTTTACTTAGCAAACTTCTGTTCCGTTCAGCCTGAGCTTGCTTGAGAAGAAAGTTGGGCTTTGCCTCTCTACAASAGCAAGAAAGGGACCCTCAGTGGAACTCCTGAGGCCCCGGGGACCCCCTGGCTCTTGTATGATGTCCCATGTGGCGAAGCCACCGCTGCCGAACCGGGTGCTGATCCAGTCCAGCACAGGTGGCCCTGGCTTTCCCAGCCCAGCTGGGCTCGCTTGYGCTTCGCGTGCTCTGTAAGTTACCTAGTTGAGCGCTGGAAATTTTGAGGCCAACTTTCATTCACTACCTGCCCATGGTCAGCCTGCCTATCAAGTGCAGTGTTTAACGTATAAATATATATATATTCCTTTCCCACAAACTGAGGATGCTGAACATTTGCATGCACCATGCAGTGGTTTAAACCTCCCACTGTCTCTTCTGAAAAGCGGCAGGATAGGATGTATCCAGATAGGATTTTCTTCTTGAACTATCCCGGGCAGGACCTCTGAAACTATGTCCCTATGTCCATTTYGGAGCCCTGAAACTGCAACCCGACTCAAAAGAAAAGCACATGGGAATGGAGCCGCAGAGAGCAGAAGAGTGTGACAAAAGGCAGCCTACCTGCCCAGCGGCCAGTGAAACTGGGCCTGGGTTTTCTGTTACCTCACCTTGCGCCACAGTGCACAGACTAGGTGGAACAGCACRTTATTAATGCTAAAGGGTCTCCTTGGACTTGACTCACTGTTTTCATCATCTTCAAGGGCTTAATAGGCTGAGCAGCGACAGCCAGCACCAGTGCTTCCTGCAATGGAGGTCCTTWGAGTTCCCACATAAAACGGGACAAGATTGAATGTCAAAACCCTTTGCTCTTAGCTCAGCATTTCATCCAGCAACTGCAGATCTGCTCAGCCTGCTCYGGGGATGCTCCAGCAGGAACAAGCTCCGTGTGCTCACCCTGGCTCATTGCTTTGCTCTGTGACTCAGGAATACAGCCCTTTCTCCCATGTATTTCTTTATTGAGCTACAACTAAGCCAGGTTCTGTCYGGTCACTCAACCTAATTGCTGAAAAAGTTTGTTAAGAACCTTCAATTAAAGGGGAATCCAAATGCTACAAGTATGCATGAAGTAATTATCCTACTGTACGCTGCAGAATAAAAAATAGCTCTGTATTAGAAGTAGCAGAATAAAAGAGCTAAATTTGCTCTTGCTCATAACTGCAGAAGGACCTTCGAGGTGTCAGTGCAGTTAATCTACAGATATAGTGAAATAACCTCACAGAATATAGCCCAGCTCTGGGCTTGCGAGCTGCACTGTATTTCTGCCTGTGCTGCTTATTGCACAGGAAGCTTCAAGATTTGAATGAACCCTTATTGCTACTTTTGGCAAAACCACTCAAAGTCTACATTATTTTAGAGCACAGACACTTTGGCAGCATTATCACAAGATTTTAACACGCTCAATAGAAAATGGCAATTTTTATAATCAGTATAAAAGTCCATGAGCAAAAGAAAAAGAGGGAGAGGAAAAATCCAGCATATAAATATTTGACATGATGGGAATTCCTAGGGATTTTGTCTTACTTAGCTGAACAGAACACATCAAGCTGGACACATCCTCAAACCATGAGTTATTGGCCCGTGTCCAAATTCTTTGCTGCTCTTCTCTCTTAAATACTCCAGCCTGGTCCCACCAGTTTCAAGCATCGTTTCAGCCTCGTTCAGTTACAGATGAAAAATCTATAATTAGGGCACATTTTTACTTGAAGAGCCACACAAAATGCAAAAAAGAATTGCTTTTTAGAATTATTGTATGGAAGGGGAAGGACTTTTGTACAATTTTTCTTCCAAGGCTAAAACATTCACTACAGAATAATCTAAAAAAAAAACCCTCCCAACTGCGATCTCTTTCTCTCGTTATCCATCTGTCTGTATTGATGAACCACAAGCGTTTCCAGAGAGCTCCTCATTCCAGCAGTTAGACAAAACAGGACTTTTTTTCCAGCTTTCCAGTGAATGTTGCATCCAAAATACCAGCCCCAAGTCTCCAAGCAACAGGGTTGCACGAGGCATCAGCAGTGCCAGCAACCYGGGACGGCGGCTGCCGCTGCCATCGCCCGGGACGGCAGCAAGCTCAGGGACAGCAGCAGTGACAAGTATTCATCAAATACCTCGTGCACTCGCTTGGACAAGCAGCTTCTAGAAAAACCAGACTCAGRGCATCAAATGAGAGGCAGGTGGACCTGGAAATTCCTGCCTATTTAAGGTGAAAGATTGAGGGAGTGGCCAGGTCTGAAAATGAGAACCTACCCCTGGGGTTGTGCTACGCAACTGCATGGCTCCAGGTTTAGACCCATTTCTCACTTTTAAAAGGAAAAAAAAAATGCCAGCCATGACAGAAACACTGTAAAATGCCTTCCTGGAAACAAATCTTGTTTATGTTCTTCCAAGCAGATTGACTTTGGAAAAAAGCAATGTTGAGTCACACATCTGCTTCGTTATAAATAGAGGAGAAATTGCATACATTGCATACATTACAGTTTGTACCAAATGGGTTACTGTGCATCAGCCCTTCTCCAAGGCCTGACCGCTTAATCTCGTACATGTTTTGGCCTCCTATGGCCAGAATTTATTATTTCCATTTATAATTCTAATGTTTCAGTTAGTCACCCATTTTCAGGGATAAGATCAGTGCCTGAAGTCATGGAGCATTACATATTTCTTCATTTAGAGATGACATAAAACCTTTGATATTTTGCGAGGAATGTTCAGACTGGAATGAAATGGACGATAAGGAACATATCAATATACTCTGCATAAGTGAATTATACTTAAACACAGAGRCTTCATTAATGGAGCAAAGTAGCCTTTCTTTGGCATTCTTGTCTCCTGAGAGCATGCAGAATGGATTCTGGGTTAGCCTCCACAGGAAAAAAGCACTCTTTCAAAAGCAAAGAAAGTGTTTGTATTTAGCAAGTCCATTTCTCTTGCCTCCATGTTGAGATTAAGCTAATCATGCATTAATTCACTCAGAATAAATAATTTCCAGGGGAACAACTTTGCATGAAGAGATATATTTTATTTTGTAATATTATAAAGTTATAAAACTTAAATATAATCCACTACGGCGGGGAACTGCATCACAGCACAGCTTTACATTTTGCCTATCTGCAGGCTGAAGCCAGTTCAGGACAGCACTTAAGCAGAAGCTTAACTATAATTGGTTTCACTGAAACTTAAGCATGCGCTTGAAATTAAGCCAGTACATGAGCATTTTTCCTGATTAGTAATGCCTCCCTGAATCGAAGCCAGAGTGTGGCCCAGTGGCAGAGGGAAGATGCCAGCTCTTTCATTGCAGCACTATTTGGCTTTTGAAAAAGTATTTCTATTATTCATCCCTTCTGTTATTTGTCCGTAAAACGGGTATAATTGCATATAGCTGTTCCCCCAGTCTGATGCTAGTCCATGCTATTTGCAAAGTGCCCTGAATTCACTGGGTGTTTCTAAGTTATTCTTTCAACGAGAGCAAGCAATGTATTACATATGGTAGCTATCATTGCTGAGCATCGCCCTGAGCTTTCCATGCACAGYGGAGAGCAACCGTATATGAAAGTCTGCAAGCCCTAGGAGGGAACTCAGCTGACTGGAAATTCCCAGGGAGTCCGGGATCTACATAAGAACTTTTCAAAACATCCTTTCACCATGTAGCTTCGGGCATACTGGAAAGGAAGTGCAGACATTGTGTTGCATGGTTTTACTCTAGCTTTCTTCTGAAGCTGTGGTCATCGTGTGATCTATCTCACATCCAGAATTAAACAGCGAAGCACCTATGGTGGGTTGACTATCAAGCTTTTTTACAGAAAAGTTCATATTTTGTCTCTGCAATCACAGAATCACTTTTTTTTTTTCAATCCTGAAAGCAGCAAGTCCAGGAATCCCATCCCACCAGAGCTTTGCTAGCAATGACTGGTGACTTGGTAGCATGAAAGCAACACCGCAGCAAAACCTGGATGTTTTAATCAAAATTGGCTTTGCTGCACTGTGGTGGGCACTTGACTTCAGTCAAAAGCTACAGTCCCAACAAAGTGGAGAAAACAGATTGGCCAGGCTCAAGTCACCCATCACACATGGCCACCCTACTTGGTGAAACCCCGCTCTTTCCGTCACCAGTCTGACTCCTGTCAGCCAAGACACTTCAGTTTCACTAAAGCTGCTCCTCCTAAT